GGGTTGCCATATTCCTTTCACACCCACTCATATCCCTTTACATGTCTTTCCATGAGTTTTGACAGACCGTCAGCCTTGGAACCCACAAAGACACAATGGGAGGCGCTCACTCGCAAGCCCTTCGACGGCATGAGACATTCATTTGGTCAACTGATGTACTACCGTGACAAGCGGGTATCTAAACGCACCCTAGAGCCTAACATGTCCCCATGTTTGTTCTTAGGTTGGCGAATAGATGCTGGTTTTCGGTATCGGTATGTTGTTCGTGTTCTTGACTACATGGATTACAAAGTCAGTGAACATGTCAATGTCCAAGAAGTCCCCGAAGCTGAAATTTATGTTGAAGATGGTCCTCCATGTTTCCCAATGGCCTCTGTTAAGCTAGCGCACTTGAAGGGAGGTTCTTTAGGAGTCCTCGACGATTTTGCACGTCTTGACATGCCGGACATCCCCATGAAGGAAATCCCTTTTGGGCTGGAGGGAGCCGACGCCGTACCACCAACTCCCATGGACCCTAAGACCAGGGGGGTGTATATCACTTTGGACCGCATCATCCGGTTTAGCGAAACCCCAGGGTGCAAAGCGTGTGAAAAGAAAACACGATACCACACGCCCGCATGCAGGAAACGTTTTGCCAAACTTGTTGACGAGGAGAGACGCGACCTTCTTGCCAAAAGGAAGGAAGGCATCACCGTGGAGGAGCTTCCACCGCGGGAGCCCGAGACCGCGCCTCCGACGGATTCATCCGAAAGTGTCACTGAGGATGAGCCACACGTCATCGATGCGACTCCGACTGTGATATCGGGGCTGTCGCTCTCGCCACATACCACATACAGGACACAACTCATCCACACTCGCCCTGAGAGTGGAGTCCCGGTGTTTGGCATGCCATCGACAGCACAACCAGCTCAAGTTTCTAAGTCTAAGAAGAAGAAGAAGAAACCGCGTAAGGCGCGGCCTGGCCGATGCATGTTCGAGTTCGCATGTGCCTCGGATTCGCAAATGCACGAGACTTTTCTGGAGATGGGAATTCCCCACATTGCCCTTTCAAAAGAGCACCTTGATCTTGACGATCCCCAAATGCAAGCACAGTTGCACCACCATATAAGCACCTGTGATGAGATTCCTGATTTATGGGCCTCAATCCCTTGCACATCAGGGTCTCCTTGGCAAAGGGTAAATCGCATGAAAGGGGGGCTCAACTTCATGAAAAGGCATGCACTTCAGGTTAAGGAGTCTAAACGTTTATTTGCTGAATTCGCTAAGTCTGCAGAGCTGACTTTAGCTCGAGAAGGCACTGTCACTTTCGAGTGGCCTAAAGGGTGTGAAAGTTGGCAACGCACAGACGTAAAACATTTCTTTCATAGCCACCCCGAGTTTGTTCCAGTCGAATTTGACGGGTGTGCTGTTAGTGTGAAATCCACTAAAGGCAGACCCATTAAAAAGAGGTGGCGCCTGATGACCACCAGCAGGGCTATCGTCGACATGTTCTCGCAGTTCCAATGCACCCATAAACCCCACGAACATGACCAAGCGGTCGGGTCGCAGACAGCTCGTACTGCGTTTTACCCAAGGCAGATGACTGTCCAAATTGCAAAGGCCCTATACCCTAGCATGTCTTTTTCCCATCATGCCCCAGCCATGCCATGTTTTTTCATGTACCCATGAACATGAGCACAGGGACAAAGAGCAGACGCTGAAACATGTGTCAGCCCTGTCGGGGATCGACGCTATGGCCATCGCAGTTGAGACAGATGACACTGTCGGGCAAATGGTAGAAAGTTTAATGGATATCAGTACTCTTATGCACGAGGCTTACCAGATCCCTAAGACCGACGATGGTAAAGGTCAGGTAGCAGCTTTGGTCACTAAGCTCCTAAGCCGCACCGAGATGCTCAGCGATCCTGAAGCCTTGCAAAAGGTTAAGGACGAGGCAGCCGATTTGGTTAACGAAGGTACTTGGGAGTATGAATCCGTTAGGGAGAAGGAGCACGTCCGTGCTGAGGCTAAGGCTTCCGGAGTCTCCGTCCATTTCGGTAAACTAATGACCATAGCCTCCATTAAATTTTACGAGCTGGCAAAAGAGTTGCAGAAAAAGAAAGGTAGGATTGTCTACCGAGGTGACTGCGCAAAGGACGAGCATGGCGCAGCAGCCGTCTATGAGGAATTAGGCGCAAACCCGACTTCGGTCCAAGGGTTGAACGCTTGCCTCGCCTACGGGTCACTACCTGGTAACCTGTGCACCGCCGCGGATGCGGTGAAGGCATATGTGCAAGCAACACTCAAGTCCAAGTACAAAACTTGGATCGAATTACCACCTGAACTTCGACCCGCGTGGTGGAAGAACAAATTTGTTCAACCAGTGGTCCTTCTCGTCAAGGCGCTGTACGGACATCCCGACGCAGGAGGGATGTGGGAACAGCATTTGAAGGGCATTCTTAAGAATATGGGTGGCGAAGAAATCCCAGAGTTCCCCGGTAACTTCTGGTTTTCTGGTCCTCGTTTAATGTTATCCACATACGTTGACGACCTCACTTTGGCAGGCCCACGGGAGAACCACCAAAAGTTTTGGTCAGAACTCACGAATGTTGTTAACGTTGAACCACCCGAAGCTATTTATAGAATGTTGGGAAGGAACCACATCTACGCGGTAGTCCCAGACTCAGGAAACACCGAGACCGCAGCTTTGCGCGGTAGCGCTGACGCTTTAATCTTCGACATGAAAGATTACGCGCAGCAGACCATCGACCTCTACAAGTCGGTGGCCGGTGTCGATAAGATAAAGTCAGCCCAGACGCCATTTCTCGCCGACGGCACATTCACCACGGCTGATGAGGAGTCGCCCGGAGAGCTCGCACCAAAGGCATGTTCTATCCTGATGAAAGCCCTTTGGCTTGCCAGGTTAGCACGGCCTGATATATTGAAGCCGATCAACGATCTGGCCACCAAGGTGCAGAAGTGGACCCGTGTCCACGATAAAAAGCTGCTACGGCTCATTCAGTACATTCAGCACTCACTAGAATATAGACTAACCGCCGTCTGCGGCGATGATGCTAGTGAGCTGTGGCTAGAACTTTTCGTGGACGCCGACTTTGGTGGGGACCAACATGACGTGAAGTCGACTTCAGGGGGGTACTTAGTACTTAAGGGCCCTAACACCCACTATCCACTAGCATGGGTGTCGAAACGGCAGACCTCCACGTCAAGATCCACTACAGAATCGGAAGTAGTAAGCTTGGCCTATTCGTTGTATCAAGAAGGACTACCTTCGCTACAGCTATGGGATAAACTTCTCGGACGGGACGTTAACCTCGTCATACAGGAGGATAACCAAGCCACGATTCTCGTAGTAAGGAAGGGCTTTTCCCCCAAGCTACGACACATCAGCCGAACACATAAGATAAACCTCAGTTCCTTAAAGGAATGCATCGACGACCCATCTGTCGAAATTAAGTACATCGATACGAATGAACAAGCTGCAGACATTTTTACCAAAGCATTGCCACCACAAAAGTGGTTCAAAGCGCTATGCTTGCTTGGCATCCGTACAGATTTAAAGTGCTTAGTTCCATCTAAGACAGATAGGAGCCTTCCGAGCAGTTCGAAGCCTTCGTAGGTCGTCGAAACCGCTGCCGCCCGGCGCGGTAATTCGTGCATGTACAAAGGAGTGCTGCCCCAAAACGGGGAGGGGGGAGTCATTTTCTGTGAACCCCTAGTATGTAACAGCATTCACTACATTTTTATCTAACTAGCTACGGTTCACCAAGGTACATGAAAACATTGTACCCGACCGTCGCTTGCATTGGCTCAAGAAAACACTGCCCCTTGCGGTCGTTTTCTTCAGGGTGCCGTACGGGACGACCTGTGGTCGTTCGTACTTTCGCTTTTGCTTTGCACCTTTCGTCGCATCTCGCACTTTCGTTCGTTCGATTGCTCGCCCGCTCTCGTTCGTTCGCCCCTTTGCAACCACGGGTTCTCGTCCTTCGGACTCGCCCAGGGTTGTAATTAATATAGACCGTGCTTCCAGGGATCTGGCATACTTCTTCTATCACCTTCCGGTCGAGAGGGTTGCCTGGGCGTTTCCCTACGACCCACCTGGTTTGTACACTCAATTGAGAAGGAACAAAATAGCTGGAGGCTACCACCCATCGCTGCAATCCATAAAAAATCAAAGGCAATCACCACATCAAACAGTAAGCGATGGCGCCAATGGATCTGAAACCCCTTGTCTTTTCGTGCACGCTGGCTTCGAAGCACGTTGCTGGTTGAGGCTTGAGGTTTGTTTAAAGTTTTCTTAATCAACGTTTGTTGTAAACAATTCAGTTCAAACCCCTTCGTGCCCTTAGCTGCCGCACTGTTGCCTGCAGGACTTTGCCGTAGCGCTTCGGATAAGCCTTCCCAGGATTTTTTCCGACCGGCTTGTAGAGATAGAGGAGATCTTCGACAGATGCGCTGTTCTCCAACCCAGTTCTAGTGACGATGCGTGCTGGGGCTACGGACGGCTGTTTCAATAAACACACCTGCGTACTAATCGTAAACGCTCTTCAACATCGCCGGTGTGCAGCTTTGAAAACATGTAAACAGTGTTTGTTGTGTACCCGACCCTCAAGATGAGGTTCGAACATATCAGCCTCAACGCGTCTGCTTAGCTTCAGGGTTTTGAGATGCTGCGCACCTTTCGCAGCTCTGTTGGGTCCAAAACCTAAGCCTGCTCTGATTGTTTCCCCTTGAGGTAAGAGGTTACACGACCCTACCCATGCATGGCTTCACAGAAGCCCTGTCACCAAAAGTAGTCCAACTCACTATACGTAGTCCCTGGAATGTCCTCGTGGGCCAGCGTGAATGGGGTGGCATGGCCCCCGAGTTTGACTCGGATGACCATGTTCAATCCGTTCTTCTTCCAGTGCCAGGTGGTGCCATCCACCTTGGCCCATGAGAAATCATCAGGGAGTGTGTGGGAGTGTACTGAGTTGCAAGTTTTTTGCATCAAAGCTGTTCAGGCCTGGAGCTATTCAGAGCTCTATTTGTCCGAGTCGCCTCACCTGGCGACCCTTGACCGAACTTGAAGAAGTGGTTGGGCGAGTTGGGCACAGAGTCCCAGGATAAACGGAAGAAAAACTGAAGAGGTTGACAACCTGTTGAATCCTCAAAGGCTATCGTGGGGACGTGGAGACCGAAAAGTCTTGAGCAATTGCTTGGAAGCGAAACGCAGAGGCTTGGGAGACGATATTCTTTGTAAGACAAATATCGCTGAGGCACTGCAGAGCGCGCAAACCTACCAACCGAGAGTCATGTGTGAGCTCCACGGTTTCATAATGTCTCATCGTTTTAAGGGAATAATAGTAACAAGTGCCACGCTAGTAGTAACAGGTGCCTTACTAGTAGTAACAATGTTTGCTACTAATTTAAAATGTTTAATTCTAATAGCTTCTTTGTTACTACTAGTAAGGCACTTGTTACTACTAGCGTGGCACTTAATTCTTTAATGACCAGCTACTTCAACATTACGTCTTTGGAGTCCCATCCAGTGATCTTTTCGCCGAGTGTCGAATCTTGATGACCACCCATTTAGATTGAACAACCTCTTTAATTTGGATATTTGTTTGATCAACTGCACCTATTTATAATATATTGTACATATGCTTCTTGACCTGAAACAATCATCATGGAAGTGGAGAATGGCCCCTTGGATTCCTCCCATGCCTAAGTGTGCCCCCATTTGATCCCATTTGGGCAAGAGGCATGCATTACCCCGACCTGCAGCACAGTTCCCTAAGGATCCACTGCCACCTCCTCAGAAGTTAAGGTACAACTGCGCCCTCCTGGCGCTTACATAAATTGTCTCCCTGCTAACCTTCTCGGAAGGTGCAAGTGGATCCATATATATATATACACAGGAGTTGAACATTTGTTGGATTACAACCTACGTTTGACAACCCGTTGGATCGATGACTCGTGTCAAATCCTGTTTTCTTCCGGGTTAGTGACGAGGAGTGTACATATTCTTCTTAGAAGGCTGCATGAGGTAAAACGGGTAAAAGATCGATGCCACAATTCCAGTGGAATGACCCAGTGGCCAGTGGGCTGGATCGTGGCGGGATGGGCAAGTAAACAGCGCCGCTCCAAGGAGGCTCGATTGTGCGTTGTGGGCCAACCACTAAGCCACTATCAAAGAAAGATCATCACCATCAGCATCATCACCAACACCATTGTAAACCAGCCTACTTGTGCAGTAGTTGACAAGCTTACTACTGCTCACCAACTCATCGGCAAGGAATAGCTCGAAATTCTGTGAGGGAACCTGCAGGGCACACACTCGCGCACTCGCTAAGGTCGTTAGCGAGATGGTTTGGTTGGATCAATGTGCAGCTGTGTGGCACTGAGTCGGAGAGCCCTCCGAGGAACAGGCTCTACCTACCCCCAAGATTTTGCCCTTCTTGGTGATGCACTATGGGCATGCAAAGGTATTTGGTGTACCACCACTGCCGCCACCGCCGCCGCCACCACCACCACCGCCACCACCACCACCACCGCCGCAGCCACCGCCACCCAACGCAACGTTTTTGAGGACTGAGGAAGCGTTCCCTTTCTAGTAGTACAGCAGACATATTTTAGGTGTGGCAGAGTAGGAGCATATGGAACCTACTCAACTCATGGAACAGTGGGGAGTTCTCTATATGAACTGGCCACATGAAATGGCAACCTTTTTGCAATATAGAGGTTTTTGATGGTCTTTGGTCAAAAAGAGACACATGTTTGAGCTCGTGTTTGTTGCTGAGGTATTTCATTCCAGTCTACCTCATAGCTCTGTGCCACTTGGTCAGGTGATGGTGGACGGATGTTTTTCATGAGACCCGGACTCTCCAAGAGGTCGAGTGGGTTTCCAAGGCTTCAACACTCGAGACCTGGACGTTTCTCTCTTTTTTTTTGTTTCCCGTGAGTGAGGCTGCGGAATTGATCAGCCGACGCTCCATCAATCAGAAGGTGTTTGACGCTCACCGCACACGGTTTATAGACTCCACAGACGGTCACGTGCTCACAAGCTGGCTCACCAGCACAAGACGTATCAAATATATGGGACGGTATACGCAGATGAACCGCACCGGAACAGTGACCCTCTCGGTGAAGTTGTGGTTGTTGTTTGTGTTCGTTCGCTTCGTGCGCTGGCGCGAACGCGCGATCTGCGGCACGGCCCGTCCATCACCTTGGAGAGTACGTGACACTCCCTGGCTCTCAGGGGAGTCTCCCATCTCATCCGGACGCTCCAGGGAGTGTAGACACTATGTCCATCGGCTACTCATGGACGTGGCTCGAGGTCATAGGACCCGATTTTCACATGCTCATCACTTGCAAAACCAGTTTGACCGGGTCCATTGTTTTTGTTTGGTGCGGTTTTGGTTAGAGGAGATGGGCATGAGGAGATGAAGGATCTTCTACCATGTGGTTGCTATCATGGCGAAGGTGGTTTCTTCCTTTCCAAATTGTTTGTTGTTCCTTTTCCTTTTCATGCTCATTCTCTCTTATTCTTTGAATCTGTGGACGTGTTGTGTTTTTTGACCTTAGGAGCTGGCCAGTATGGGGAGAATCATGCCTTGTTTCAGGCTGAGAGCCCTTGTAGGGCCGGGCCCCCCTTTGACGGAATTCAGGTACTCAGCGCGGCTACAGCATTTGGGGCGTGGCGCCACGCTGGTTCATGATCACACCCTGGTCGCTCCACAACTTGGCGAAAGACAGAGGCCGCCTGGAGCCATTTCGTTTCAACCGGGTGTTAACGTCTCCGGGCTATACCTGACTTGTGAAAAGGGGGGTTATATATATATATATCTATATATATTACTTATATATATATATACACACACCTGGTTCTGCTTTGGGAAATGTGACTTTTGCCTACGGGTGAATCCCAGTCCCTTAAGCAAATCCAACTATATACACTTCCTGAAATCAACGAAACATGGAGTTCACCACCTGTTTGGTCTTCGGAAGACTCATGGTCATCCTTTCGGGGCCGTTTGCCATCCACGTAACCACGAGTATATTCCAAGGAGTGTAGCCAGTGATGTACGCAATTGAGTTAAGGCTTAGGTAGTGCAATGATGTGCCACACCCACCAACAACTTATCGATACTGATCGTTTGTTTGTGTTTTTTTTGGGGGGGGCCAATAGAATGTGGTCTTGCACTGAAGACTAGCATGGACTCCTCCAATACGACTAAGTTCATAGGTGTTTGGTGCCAAGTATCAAGATGTGAACCCCTACCACAAAAGACGGTATTTTTCTTTAAAGTGCATAGCTTTGAACATGTGCACAGTGCCTTTAATTGGGTGCTTGCTGCGAACCATATGGGGTATCAGGAGAAAATCGACGACCCAACGATGATCTTATATGGGGCCAGAAAGCGGGATGTTTTGGGGGATCGTTCCTTTCTTCAACATGCTCTTTTTGTTCTTGAGACCTCAACCAGCACCGACTTCACCAACAGGTCACCAATGGAAACCTGCAATGTTAAGGCCCTTCCCAACCCTCCAGCCATCAGAGACCTCTTCGGACCGGTTCGAAAAGAGCCGTTGGGAGTCGATTCTCTTCGAACCAACAAAACGGTGGAAGGTGGAAGGCTCCTCTCAGAGCCACGGCGACCCCTTGGGTGGTCGAAGAAACGCCCCGAAGAGGAAGAAATTGGGCTTTTGGAGGAGGGAAGGGTTGAAAACCCACAGAGGGTTTGTTGTCTCGATTTCCATACAGCCCTGGAATCGTTTGTTTATGTTTGTTTTACCTCAGGTGTTCATCAAAGACCTTTTGGAGGATAGAGCGGGGTAGCTAAGCTACAATCATTGATTTCGCATGATTTCGCTTCTTCTTCTACTGTCCCACCTAGCCACAGTCGAAACAGTCGAAGACACATCATTCATTTACATGGGGGACCCTTCGGCCCCTTCTTCCAGTGGAACCATTCACCATACTTTGAAAGAAAAGGCCACATCAACGCACCGGTCTCGTGACGGTGCCATCTCGTGACCTCACCCGAGGATGGACGGTTCCTTCCCGTGCAGTTCTGGCCGCAAGTGTGCTGTTCTTCGTCAACTTCCTCGCGTATGGAGTCTGCTGGCCAGACCCGTGGTGGGCGGTGGTGCCCGGGATCCGGATCCCACCACGTGCTCCACTGGGTGGTCCACCACAGAGCTATGGCTCAAGAATCGGGTGCCATGCAAACCTAGGAAGCAGCAGCAGCAGCAGTTGACAACTTTGCAGATTCCTAAGTGGGTCCCTATCTGGCCCTGTCACAGCGTGGGTTGACCATGCCTTATGAAATGCCCCCACCATTCTATGTCTATGTCCTATCCAGTTGTGGTCCTATCCAGGAACACTGCCATCCAGACCTGGCGGTTGAGGTCCTGCGCACACTAAAGATCTGAGACTTCCTCCCCGGACCCATGGAAGGGTCCACCCAGGTGCTCTTCTTCCTTGACCTTGGTCGCGTGGCGATGTGGGCGACCGATCATCCGACCGATCCGCTTTTTTCTGCCGACTTGTGGATCGCTGTGTTTCTCCGATGTCTTGCGATGGATTCCCTGGGGCTTGGATGGTACATCTATGGTCGTTTTTCCACGTAGTGGATGATCTGCAGAGGTCTCCGACGGATTCCCTGGCAGGTTCATTGGTTGGTTGACACTTGTTTCGTTTGCCGGTTGCCAGGTGTAAGATGTCCAGGACTGCCCAGCTGGAACGAAGCAGTGTGAATTCTCAAGGATTGAGTCGTTCCCAGTTGTGGGTTGTGGAGGAACGAAGCCGAAAGAGGGAGGCCTAGAGTTCCAACGAAAGTTGAACACTTGAACCACCATACATTCTGTTGAATAATGTTGAATAGGAATATGAAAAAGGGAAGGCTAAGGGACACGTGTGTTGAAGTGCAGAAGGTCATTTTGTGTAGGGTCCTCATGCCAAGGTTCAACGTTGGAGTTCTTAGTGCATTTGTCACCCTCTTGGGCTGTGACGCGTTCGCACGTGCGTTCCGTGCCTTTTCTTCCCTCCAATCATGAGTATAAACGGAAGATATGTCATGGTCAGAGCACTTGCAACTGGGTTTTGGATGAGTATGGAGTCATGGACTCGCCACTGTGACTTTCTTATTGGACCTAGGCGAAAGGCATCAAAGAACCATACAACTACCCTGACCAGAAATTCCAAAGGAAACTGGTTCCACCTTGTCTATATCCTTCTCTTGATCTAAAGCCTCAACTGTAAGCACCAACTGTTGGTGCTCCAGATGAGCCTTTCTGGAAAGAGTGCCTGACTGTTTCGGGGGTACACTCCCAGCCGGTCGCTGCTGGGAGCTGGAGAGCGGGCGAGCGGCTGGGAGCGACGGCTCGGGGTATCCAGTTACTCAACCCCGGCTCCTAACCTACTAGCGATGGCCTCCAACCTATACTAATTACTGTAGCTATGGCCTCCAACCTAAATGGGGTATCCAGCTCTTCCCCATGAAATGACGGGAGCCGTTTCACTCCGAGCAAGCACAGGAGTTCCCCAACCCCAGCTATAGCTGAAATGATCATGGTTATGTGGGAACACGGGTCTTTGGATGACCATGTTCCGAAGACCAAACAGATGGTGCCATCCACTTCATATTATGAATGACTTGGAGAGTAAGGTCTAAAACCCACCCTGCAACCCCTGGTTTGATCATTTAGGCTCACCAAGTGGCTGCTACTCCAGATTTCAGCGGCTGCACGTGCAGGTGAGTATCAACTAGGTTTGATCCTGATCCACGGTTTGGGCCACCTCATCAGCATGATCCTTGGCCGAAGTCCAAGTCTTGCACCACGAAGTCCAAGTTCCCTCCTTCCCAGATTGAACAGACACACTGGGAACACGAGAGAGGGATCGGAACTTCATGGTGGCATAGATTTGGATACAGTAATTCTGTCACCCATGCCTCACCCGAACGCGCCAACAAAAATAGCCGCGCCATGTGCGCAAAAGGGACGCGGGACGGTCTTTCGCATACTGTACCAAACTGGTTAATGCACGATACTAACTACCAGGACCTTCAAAGTGACCCTTTGATATCCCAGGATGAGGTCAATTAGGTCTGTACAAGGTCACTTAGAGACTCCAAAGAGGTCAAGTTGAAAGTCCTGGTACGTATGCTACGTGGACCAGTTCGAGATCTGGGCCGATCTCTTCCACATTGCCTTAGCCATCCCCTGAGCCATCCCACTTAGCTAGAGTCGATACGGCGCCCAGAAAGAGAGGTCGAACACTTGACCGGCGCACGGAACTCGGCATCGAACTCGGCACTCGGAACGTCTCGCAGCGCGTCATCGCAACGACGGCGGGAGACCCTTGCCCCCTGAAAACTTGGGACAATTCCTTCTCAGCTTTTTGCAGCTATACAGCTATTTTACATCTAATTACAGTATCGCTATTATACCAGCTATATCCAGCTATAAAACATTGCCACAGTTCACCAAAAAGAAACACCGCGCAAACCGCGCAGCCATCCGCGCAGAACCGCGCCCTTCTGTTCGCGGTCCGAGGATCCTCTCAGAGACCTTGGCCGTGGTGCTCCTCCCATCGCCCAGCTCTCCGCGCTACGCGCGCCTCATGGGGCCCAGCACGCTGGGCGCCGCGATGTTCGGCGGCTTGGCGGAGACCGCGGGGGGCTCGCCGTTGTGTCGGCGGTTTCTTCGGTTGGGATGCCGGTTTAGGGGATGGTGTCCTGGAGATTGTGAACGGATGTGATGCTAGGGCGGGATGAGGGTTTAGGGGATGAAATGATGAAATGAGGGCTACACTCCCTGGAATCATCATGGGCCAACGTGGATGGCACATGATGGCAAGGCCCCGAAAGGAGGACCATTTTCTGAATACAAAACAGGTGTTGCCAAACAGGCGTTGCCATCCACGTTTGAAAGGGGACAACATCATTGGGCAAATTGGGCTATGTTAGCCTGATGAGACAAAATTTCCCAAGAAACACCCTGCCGGACAGAAGGGGCGTGACCTAGTACGTAATGAATTTGTTGATCTTGGCTTCTTGAATGGGCAAAGCTGGAGGGTCCACGCAAGGACAGGACCAAAACACCACTCACAAGCAAATCACGAAGAAGTCAGATAAAGCACATAGCAGCTAGAAGCTAGCACGAAATCACAAATATTAGACGACATCACAGAGATTGTCCCCAATAGTCATTTAACAGTCCATGTATGGAATATGTGCCTATACGTACATTGACATTGACCCTTAAGACATCATCTCAAAACCACCCTGAGGATTGTTGGGGTGTCATAATGAAATGTATTGCAAGACAGTGTATCTTCGACATTGGTTTGCGAATTAAATAAAGAGTGCATTCGAGCCTTTGGTGACTGTGTCGAGACAAAGCCGAAAGGGGCTCATGAATCATGTAATGAATATACTGGATTTGTAACCATGTATGATCATGCATACTGTCAGTATATTATATGTATTATATTTGCACTCCTTGCGACCGTTTCCATCTTCAGAAAAGAGTGTCATGCCCCACTTGGGCCATTACAAGGACTCGTATCCCCAGAAGATCTGGTGGACCTCCTGGTGACTTCGCAACCTGATTCACCAGGCTTCTTCGGAATTTTGGTGGGCTATACCTTGGCCAAACGCCAGGAGCGACGGCGTGACGATGTTTCTGCACGGACGCCGTGGATGCCGTGAGGTCTCAAAATAGATCTCCTCGGTTTACAGTGGACTTGAGTAGCAACCACCATCATGGGGAGAGCCAACGTCTCACCAACCTGCGGGCACCAGCTTCCCGGGCACGCTCCCGAGCCGCCTCGGAGCCCGTGGCGGGGGTCGCACGGGAGGCCTTCCAAAAAGTTGTTTATAGGATCGGCGTAGGATTGAATTGAAGGCATCAAAGGGATGCCAGTGAAGTAAACAGCCGAAACATTGCATGTGACTGGGTCGCCACTTTAGTGTTTAATGTTGAGTCTTAAGAGTATTCACCGGAGTCTTTCACCATAAATCGGCGGGGATCAAAGACCGGAGTCTATGTGCTCACCATGGCCATGGGAACATCTCCAACGAATCAACATCAGACCGTCCCCGTCAGCGGTCCGGTGGTTTAGACCACCTCTCGGTCAGGGCCGCCGGGTTCGCCGAGCTGCACAGGTCGGAAAGTGGACTGGGCTCTTCTTGCCCGGCTTGCTGAGTAGCGCCTTGCCTGGCTGGTGGGGGTCGTGGCTTTTTTTGATCTTGGCTTCGGTTGCTGTTCAAAACATGGTGAATCTAGGGTCAAATAGTTGTGCTTAAGCCTGGATAGCCTGCCTGATATGGTCAATCCGGTGATGCCGGGTTGAGAAAATGAGGACTTTTCTGGACTAATTAAATAGGGCGGTGAATACAAGACCAGATAGAGGCCTACTAGAGACCATAGATACTTGATATGTTCCACTTTCAGACCCAGGCTACGAGCTCCTTTGCGTGGCCGTCTTGGCATCTTGGCATCTTCACGGGGGGAAAGCGACCCCTTTTGGGGCACACCGGTGCTTGTTTCAGTTCAGTCATAGCTTGATGTAAATCAGATAGACTTGCTGTGACTTAGCAACGGTTTGTGCACAGGAACTGTTCAACTTGTAGGCTAGGCAAAGGTGGAAGTTCACAGATGGCTTTCTTTGGACCCTTTATACCTTATTCAGAGACCACTGTGTTTAGGAGTGCCACGTTTGGGCTAAAGCTCTTGGAGACACATGAGTAGTAGGGAAGGCCAAGCAGTGCGAGTAGGCACACGAGAATGTCTGGTGGACCATGGGTTCTTTCCATGATGCCTGTGATGTGACAGGCCATGTGTGTTAGAAGAACAAGTCATTCAGTCTTTGCATCTTTTAAGAATGCGTCAAGGCAAACTAGTAAGTGGGCTCTGGCACTATTGACCAAAACCTTTCTTCCACCAGGACGGTCAATCTGGAGCAGTGCCCTCTGACTCAGACTCTGGGTCCTAAGGCGTCCAACCCATGGTTCCATGGCGAGCCCGGACCCACGGGTCCACGGGTCCACCGGTTCGGTCCGTTCGGTCGAAAGCGGAGACAACGGGGGGGTGTTTCCTCCGAGGAAACTGCATCTCTTCGCGATTCTTTTCGTCACTTTTTGGGTGCGCAAGAAGGGATCCTGGGGACCGGTACTACAATCCACAAGGTGGTCGGATCCTCCATGAAGTGGGTGCTGTCGGGTGCTGTGCTGTCCCCGTCTTGGAGCTGGAGGTCCGGAGCTTTACTTCGGAGTATGTGGAGAAGAAGGAGGTCCGTGATGCCTATAGCCAGGCAAATCAAGGCAGGGGTCAGGGGGATCCCAACGGCTCAAAAATCCCTCCCTCTCAGACGTCCTCAATGCTGAGCAGGCTTTGCCAGATTGTAGGAGGATTTCATGGTCTTCCATGGGCCGAACTGTTCCACTTCCTTGTTTCGATTTGGGGAGAGCAGTTCATAATCATTTGCGTTCGGCTCACCAAACACATCATCATCCCCTGATGAGGTCCAACCGTTCCTCCAACACCCTCGCCCTCGCACAGCCCGTGCCTCCAGCGCCATTCTTTCCCCCAAACCCATCCGATCTTCCCTCTCTCCCCACCCCACCACGGCCCCCCGGCCCAACCCGTCCGTTCTTTCGCCCCGACCGAACCGCACTCGCCGGAGGCCTTTTCGTCTCGATGCACATCGCCACGCTGCACGCCATGGCCGAAGGCGCACGGATGATCCTGATCCTCTCACCGCTCTGTGGCACCGCCCCAGCCGCGCGGGCCGTCACTGGCGCGGCGGGGTTTGCGTCTTGTTGTTTGGGTTCTTCTTGAGAGTGGCGGAAAAGGGACTCATTTTGGACTCTGGACTCTATGGTGATCTATGGTGTAAGTGGTGGATTCGGACTTCCAGGTGGGGTAAGATGAGTCAGAACGGAAGTTCTGGTCGATGAACAAACTGGAGGTCGGGGTGCCGGGTCGGGTGGCGAGTGACGTCGTGTATGCGGAGTCCGTGGTCTCGGGATGGTGAAGATGGCGGGAGGTGCAGAGCGACGTTGAAGGCACGTGAACCAGATTGTTGAACTGTGGAACCTTCAACTCTGAGGGCGCTGAGGGTAGATAGAAGGAGCGATTTTCGTTTCAGCACATGAGCACCATGAAGGCAAACCGGCCAAACACCATGCCATGAAGGCAAACCGGCACTCAAGAAGTGTTGGACCCACCAAAGGCGAGACTCCAGACAGTCATCCATACCATCCGGTCCTGAGTCCTGCGACTGTGTCAAGCGCTCCGAAAGACTCTATGTTGAACCTCGGCATTGGATTTTGAATGAGTACAGTCTGCTCTCTGGCAACAGGAACCAGATTGGCCCCACATGACCCAGCTATATCTCATCACCAACATGAGTGATGTATATAGAGCGATCCTCGAAAAGACAGAATATATGACTATAGCGGTCAATCCCCCAAACCTGCAACCTTCAACGGCCTCTGTCCGAGTATCGAGCAGGCCCGACCCCGGGAGGGGGTGCCGCGCGACGGCCGCGGCCTGACGACTTCGACGGCTGAGGCCACCGAAGAGTTTTTGATTCCGATCTGCTCTGGAGCCTCGGCCTGGCTTGCCGGCGGGCCGTCGTGTTTTGGTTCGTCGATGTGCAAAAAGGTCCAAGACCAAGCACCTGGCACTTTGCCGTGAAAACCATGGTCATGTCCTTTCTTTTTTAAACACGGTGTTTTGGATATTCCAAGATTGTTTGGAGCTCTTCCATCAACTAGCATTTTTCTGACATTGTTGGCATTGTTGGTTTGGTTCCGGAATGTTCTGGATATCAAGACTCCCCAGTCAGAGCTTCACGGTTTTCTCCGGATTGGGGGATTGGCTTCGTACCTTAAGCTTGGTTGTAGGAAGAAGTGGAGTCAGGTTCAGTCACCGGGTCACCAGGATTGGACAGATTTGCAGCGACTCCGCCCTCTCACATCAAAACCGGCCTAAGGAGGCTTAAGGAGGCTGAAGAGAAAGGCTGGAGGTGTACACGGACTGACTTAATGGAGTGCCAACTTGAGCATTCTTTGGTGAATTCCGGACATCCCTCCTTTCGTGAACCGAACCACGTGGGACCCAGGATTCGTGTGGAACGTGCTGGTGCGTGCGGGGTTCTTGGAGCGGGTGATGTTCGTGATCAGCTGCGGATGGAGAACTTGCACCAGGTGCAGTCTCCTCTTGCAAGAGGCCGGGTGACGTGATCCGGTGAGGTGTGGGGCCGGGTGACGTGCAGGTTCGGCTCTTCTGAACCACCAGCAAGCACATGTAAGCATGAGCATGTATATAGAGCAAGCAACATATGATGGGTGGGGGCAGATCATTGATTTTGGGAACTCTTGGGACTCAGAAATTCTTTGCTCTCAAACATTTTTGGACAATCCTTTTGGGTTTTAGGCTAATGACTCAGTCAGGTATATAAGGCTCCAAACCCACACAAAATTGGAACCTAACCATCATCATCCACTGAGGCCTTGCATAGATATGGATAAACCCCATGGCCCAAGTCTTTGAGGTGAAGCATTGCACCAGCTTCCCACGCTACTTCGTCATTCTGGCCATTGCCTTGGCCCGGCTGATGGGCACTGGAAACGCCCTGCCTGGGGGCCAGGAGACGGGGGAGACCGGGTGGACCTGAATGGCGTTCGGTTCCTGGACAGATCTGACCATGCCTTGGCCCCGGCCAAGTGGAGACTCATTCGGATTTGACGAATGATACATTCTTTTTCACGACCCCAGGTCGGATAGCGAGTGGTTGGGAGAGAGATGTTTGCCATGCCCGCTCGACTCTACTCCCTTGGCCAGAGGAACAGGGGCATACAGAGACCAACAGCTTCTACTTCTCCCGAAGACCATCCACGGGACTGGAATAGTTCCACATTTACCCGACATGTCACCTCTCAGAATCCGAACGGGCACGGACTCTGGACAGGATAGGGGCGACCCGGACCAAACCGTTCAGACCCGGATTCTTAGGGCAACCATTCCAGTCCCATGGATGGTCTCGGCATGGTGTGGGAGCTCCGAATGTTTTGGTCCTAGAATCCTGAGACTTGAAACCCTGTACTCCATTTCTATAACACATGGTGTTTGGCACTGCTTGCAAAGGTTGATGTGAGAACAGGGGCTCACTTTTCGTTTCTGTTGTCCCTCTTGGATCGTGAGTGATTCTTTTACGCCATCTACCCTCATCTCAGAGACACCACAACGATGGGGTGTGCACGGCATGTGGGAACCCTCCGACTGACGGTCTTCTTTCCATCCGACTTTGGTGAGGAGACCTTGGGATATGCCATCCTCGCTCTTTTCATCGCAGATGTGCTGGAGAATCTTTGCAGTTCGTTGCTGCAGTATATGGGATATCAGGCACGGCCGCGATGTCGCCGGGTCCTCGGGCCTTTCGGGCCTTTCGGGCCGTCCTCTCGGAGGGCTTTCGGGGTCCTCGGTGGCAAGCGGGGTCACATGTGAGGGAGACGGCGAATGCAACCAAAGGTCGGGACAAGGAGAATGTTGAATCCATTTCAGTTTGGATCTTTTGTTGCTGCAAAAGAAGACATCGCCACCAGTTTCGCATTTGGGTTAAGATCGAAGCAATCATGCAGTTTTGGATTGGGGTCTAATTAAGTGGCCAGCTTCCAAGCAGAAGCTCCTACCTTCGGACAAACTCCTGCGTGAATACCTAAAAATTAAGAACTGGTACAAAAGGTGCGAGAATCCATCCTGGACCCTCTTCCATCCACTAATCCACTGGCTCATGATTGGCTCAAAAGCATCGACCTGTTTGCTTCGCTGGTCGTGATGGGGATCCAGTGGGTCTTCTGTGTGTGGATTTCATGCTGAGTTTTGTGAAAAACCGTCTATCCACCAATCTCACCGAAAAAGAACACATGTTTGCATCCATGTTTCTATGGCATCCATGCCATGCCACGCTCCTTCTTCGCTCCTCTTCGCCCCCCGGTCCGTCACGTGGCAGGTCTTCCCCGAGCAACGCCACTGCGGCCTCGCCGAGCTGCGCGCGCGGGCGGCGCGGCGCCTGGAGCGGCGCAGCGGCGCCGCCGGCTTCGACGACCTGGCCGCGGTGACGACGAAAGGACGCCGGGACGCGGGACGCGAGGACGCGAGCGAGCGAACCGGGGGGGGGGGGGGCAAGGGCCTCCGGAAGGGTCCAAGGCGGTGCATCCGGCAATTCTTGAGTTTGGAGTACTATACTGACTGGTGCGACGAAAGTGCTGGAAAGAGGGTGGAATGGGTTTCAATGGAAATGGTCTTATTCCCTATGTTCGCACCACTCAGGTAAGGGAAGTGGAATGAGTGGAGTGAGTGGAGGAGGGAGGGGGTTCTGAGGTGAAGTTGGAATGGTTGTTGCTGTCATGCCTTTCGAAGCTGCCATTGATGGAAGTTGGGCTGGGGTATACCTCTTGCCCTTCTTTTTTTTGGGCGTCAGCCGTGAAGGGAAGACCTTTCCGTGGAGGTCATCATCCTTTTCGCTGTGTGTAGATAGTAATGTATACCTGGAGCCTGGAACACCTACCAAAATCTAGTCGTTTTGGATTTTTTTGATCGACCATCAAAAAACACATTCCAAGACCTATGTGCCGGTGTCACAAAGGGCACTCCACGGATTCCAAAGTGTCTTGAATAACAACACCAAAGTTGCGCCATAAAGTTGAGCGTTTGCGTCGTTTTGTTGATCGTTTGCGTTGCATTTTTGGTTGTTGTTTCAGGTGGTTCACGCAACGGCGTTGTGTTTCTAGTCGTTTGTGTTGAGTTTCTAGTCGTTTGAGTCGTGTTTATAAATGTTGTGTTGTGTTTTTAAGCGTTTGGGTGTCTCCAGCTCGTTTCCGGCAAGGTTTCCACATAGCGAAAGCAGTCCTTGATCTTTTTGATCGTTGTAGCCAAACACCCAAAAACAGAACACCAATGCCATGTGGCGTCTCAAGACTGATTGGCACTCAAAAAAAGGTGATCGTTTGGGGTTCCAGGTACATATGTATACTGCAGTCCAGACCTTGGAAGAAGGCCCTCGCAACGGCCCTCGTGTTTGGGTCAAGACATTTTCCCTGTTTTTTTGGGGGGTTCCCATGGGTTGGTTGGCGCCATGTATGCAGCGATGCCCCATGCTTTTTGTGGCCTACATTTGGTGGTTGCTGATGATGAATATAGACAAAACGTTTTCGCCCTATCTAGGTCACTAAATCAAACCAGGTCCCTACTCGACAACAGTGCTGTTGGCAGTTGGGCAGTTTTGTTTTGCTGCCGCATCCAGCTGCAGCTGTGGTGGCTCGCCATACCTGACAGCATGAAGCGCCAGTGTTGGCGATGGATCTACCGAAGGTATGGAAACCAGTCAGTGTCTTAGGGCCCAGGAAGACTTGTTTTCATTTTCCGTTCCTGGGTGATTGCGGCCGAGGATTGAACATCTGAAAATCCGCCTTCATCCCAGTCTTACATGTGGAGTTTCCCATTATATAGATCACCGATGGGCCCAGGTGAAGCAGAACTTTCTGCCATCCCCGATGCTACCGAAAGCGTCCAGTTCCTTGAAAGCCAAATCAAGATCGCGCTCGGGAGGCTTCTGAAAGACGAGGAGCCAACCCTTCATTCATTGTGGCATTTGGGTCTTGGAGTGTTTTGCATGAAACAATCCGCAGGCAAAAGAGCTGGAGGGAATGGTTCTTGCGGAACTTGCCTGGAAAAAAATAGATAAGGCAAGGAAAAGCATGGAGTGTGAAAGTGAAAATACCGAGCCACCAAAAAAGAGACTTCGTAGAATGAATGCCAAGTATTTTGACGACTGCTAGCTATAATTCGTTCATGAAAAGCATGACCATGTCATTGAGCTCCCTTTGACCGCTCTTTTGTGTGGTGGGGGCACAGTCACAGGCCCATAATTCAACTGGCAAACTAGCATGCCGTTGTGGTCTCCCAAAAGGCCGAACTGCGAGCTCTTGTTTGTCGCTGTGTGTTTTGATGGTGTGGAATAAGCTTTTCGTTGTCATTGAGGATGTGAAAGGTTTTGGGTTCAATAGGTTCAATAGCTAGAGCCGGGACTTGGAGAGCAGCCCTCCATGCCACCGCACTCCTTGCCCCCCCATCGCGGCCCTGAGTGACAGTGAGCCCACGCCTCAGACATGACCGCTCTGTCTCAAAGCATTGGTGCCACACAACCTCACAGGTCAGAATGGAGCTTTGTTTCCCGAACAGCGCCATCAGCCACTATCCCAGGGTCTTGATTGTGGCCAATGCTTGCCCATTGTAACGGCTATCCGTTGAGTCGAGGTGCAAAATAGCTTTTCAGGAGCAAAAACAGTTCGAAGGACCATCAAAAAAGACTCCCAGGCCGGTCTGTTTGTTTTGGGCCAGATCTTGGCATTTAACGGTCGGTCTTGCCTTGAAGGAGAAGCTTCCACTCTTTGCAGCCCTTGGCCGGCTGAACAAGAAGGGTCCTTTTCATTTGGTAGAGATGAAGGTTGGGCAAAACCCGGGGTACAATGTTACAAGACTGACTTGTTGGGAGGTCAAACCGCCAACAACCCAAAAATTGACGCTTGTGGTAGTCTGAGGCTCAGACTACAAAGAAGTTCAACCTTTTAGTATTTTGTATCTCCATCTCAGGTCTCCGAGAACAACAAGTCATCGAAGACTGCCAGGGCAGGAATGAAATCGGGAGTTTTCTTTGGACGGAAAACCTTCAAAGCCTGGCCAGCTCTGCGCCAGTTACTGAGAGACTTGTTTTGGATGGGCCACCAACTGATTTCTTTGAAATGACTGTAGGTTGCTTTGGGGCGTGCCTGCGCGTCACTGCAAATGCCGTGACCAATCGTGGCATCAGCGCCCTATACTTAGACTTGAGAAGATTTTGTGGGGTGGTGCACACAGCTGCTCGTACTCCAAGGATCTCGCCAATGTGGTGAGGTTCTCCCAGGACTATACAGACAGCTTGGGTTCCAAAAAGCCTGGAACCTTTCTTTCAGCTGAAGTATGTGAATGGTTCTCGGGTTGGGGCCTCATCAACATCAAAGTGGACCGGAGGAAAGAACGTGCTTGAGTGAGGCCTTCCAAAAGGATGGACTTCACCGAAGCAATCTGCCGTGAATCCAGAACACTTCAAGTTGGCATTCCCCAATATCCACCAGAAGGCGTGGATGTGATGCACAACCCATCTGTGGGTGGAGTTGAAGTTTTTGTAGGAGAATAAGTGGCCCATGGTGTCAACCTTCACCGGAGTCGGAGGATTAGACCTTGGACTCAGTGAGTGTGGATCCAAGCTTCATCTCACCACTGTCCACACCCAAACAAGGATTCAGCCTTGCCTTGACTCAGGATCATGTTTCCGACATTGATGGCCATGGCCTTGCAGCTAACTGCTTGCGTCTCTCATGTTCTCTCTCTCTCTCTCTGTTCTACTAACCCTCTTCTAGCACAAATGTTTGAGGTGGAGAATCATCCATTTTGCCGACGTGTGTTGGCTGCCCGACAAGCGGACAAGCTCTTGCCAAAGGTTGAGATCCATGAAAATGTGGAAACTCTGACTGGGCGCAAGGCTCGTGCATCAGGTGCCAAAGGCCTTGGAGGAGGCTTCCCTTGCCAGGCCTGTCGCAGATTGTAAAACGTTTTCCAAACTTCGCAGCTCGGAGCTGGACAATCTAGTTGGGGGAGCAGCGAGAGGACCATGGAGTAGGGATCAAAAGGATTCAAAAGGTGTGACAAACATGTTGTGTTGATACTCTTCACCTGTTTGTCCTTCTCTATGTTTTTGAGCAGCCCGACAGAATGAGCCCTTAGAGTCAAGACCCGAGCTGTTCTTTCGAACCCTGCACAGCTACTGTCCTCCATCGCGCCAGGGGGTGAGTGGAGCCGGCAAAGGCCTCGGCTTGTTGGACCACAGATCGAGCCTCGTGCGTCACATATTTCGAGTGGCCTCAGAGATGGGGCCTGATGCGCACCAGTCTTAGGATGTGTCAGCACTTATGCACGTTTAGTCTTTCTACATTTTTCTCTACCAAAGTCCGACACCTGTCGTGCGAGGAAGTTCGTTTTCATGGAGAATGTAAAAGGTCTCCTCGCCGTGGATCAACGAGCACTCTTGTGGTTTATCATGCAGGAGCATAGTCAAACTGGCCAGCTAGTAGTTATGTTCAAACAGTAGTCCTATTTTCTGGGCCTTAGGTCAGGAAGAGGGGAATGGCAGGCATAAGTATCAACATGAATGATTCACCATGACTCAACTGCGTGATGTTGGATGATGTTGGATGCGAAAGGATAAGTGAGCAACAGCAACAGTTCAATACTTATGATGATGATGACAAGCTTATAACTGAAACTACAGCACTCATGAAGCACCAACATTTGACGCAGGAGTGTCTTGATCTCGGATTTCAGATCAAGTGGGCCACCCTGCAGCTTCGCCACGTGGGACTTGCAGCTTGCCTGGCATGTGTTTAACCAACCACTGAATGTGCACAGTACACCTGCAAGCGCGCACCAACACAACTGTGGGGATGAAGTTTCAACTTAAGACCTTAGCGGATCATGGAAATGTGTAATCTCCTTCTGCAATTTCATTGTGCTTGATTGTTTTGGGAACGCTAAAAAACACTTTGTTCGGCCAGGCAGGGCGGGACCGAGTCTTCATCTTTGCTCATCGCCCAAATTTCCAGCTGTTCAAGGTGCTAAGCTCAAGAATCTCTTGCGGGCTATGGGGCATGCATGGAGCTTTCAGTTCACCTGTCACGCCAGGCGTTGGAGCTGAAGCCGCTTTCAAGCCTACTACCTCCGGAGTGGAACCCCTTGGCGAAGAAGCCACTTCGGGACTGGTTGTTGCCTTCCCCTGAACATGAAGATGAATGGGAGGAACGGGTGCATGCATGTGGAAATGTGGTGGTGCCTTCACAGGCAGCCGCCGCTCTACAGTTTGTTTCCAGGTTGCCTGCGCTGCAGTGAGGTTACTATTGAATAGATAGGCCATAGTCGTAACATGTTGTAGCTTCGTTACTGTTTGTCAACCAAATGGTCAATATAACACATAACAGTACGTTTTCAGTCTGTTAGTAAGACCGCAGCTCAGAGAAATTCGATCCAGCATTTAATT